GAACAGATTTGTACATAAATCAGACAAACACTAAGTGCTGCAGCTGTGTATTAAGATTTGGATAACACCAAGAAGCCATATGTGAGTATCTATTTAGATATATGAGGAAGAAAATTTTGAGAACCGAGGCTAGAAATATTGATTTAATACTAACCAAAGGGACCTTTAATTCTAGGCTAATGAATTCAAATGCGACCATTTGTTAATGATAGACCACTTAAAGATTTCATTAGAAAAGTGCATTGTCATAATAACAATTCAAAATATTCATTCTAACTAAGTATGGTGGCAAACACCTGTAACCGTAGTGACTTTGATTTTGTGCAGGAAGATTGTGAGTTCAAGGGCAACCTCAGCAACTTAGCAAAACCATGAGCAAAGTTATTGAAATACTGTCTCAAAATGAAAAAATAAGAAGGACTGGGGAGTTCAGTAGTAAAGTGATCCTGGGTAGAATCCCTAGTGTAATTTATTAAATAAATAAATGCTTGTAGTTGCAATTGGAGATGAATTAGAGTGAGGTTAGGAATTTATTAGGAGGCTTTTATTATGGTATAATAATGTGATAGTTTGGGTCTGAAGTGTGGAAAGAAAAGAAGAAAGGTGCTAACAGAGACACTTTGGGGTCAGCGTTTTCATAAACTGTTATCTTGTTTAATGTACTTGGCAAAGGAAAAGGAGGAGGCAAAGTGATATTAGAAATTTGAGTCTTTACATTGGGCATAATAACACGAAAGAGAAAACAGATGAAAGACCGATTCTGTTATATACATAAATTTTAATGAATTTAATGGCTTTCAGGAATGAGATACTATTGAATTATGATATAAACTTTAAGAAATTACTTTCAAATAGCAGAAATGTCAGAACAGGGGTGGGAACAGGAGAAGGGAGGAATGGCAGAAAGGGGAAGTACCAGGGACTGAATTAGGACAAATTGTATTCCATGCTTCTTTAATTATGTCAAAATGAATCCTCATGTTATGTTTAAGTATACAGAACCAATAAAAAAGAAATTACATTCAGTGAATTTAATTCTTCAGGGAGAAAAGCAATGCTGTAAGTGAAATGGATGAAGAATAAAGCGGAGGGAGAAAACATGGAAGTCTAGCACATCTTGAAGAACACTTGGTTGCTTGACTCCATGGATATTCATCATCCTGTGCATTTATCTTCCATCTGGATGAAACCAGTAAGTATGTGGTTAAGGAGATGGGAGTCATAGTGAGGTAGTGGAGGTGCGAGAGCATGAATGATGGGGAAGAGGAAAAGGTTGTGGTCTAATGAGTAAGAGGTTTGCTCTGGAATGGGCATAAGAGTTGAGAAAGAAGTGACAGGGAGAGTTTGTTTTTCTTGTCTTCAAAAAATGATATCCATGAATTGAACAGAAAAAGAGTTTATAATTTTAATCTGAGAAAGAGTG